AGAGTCATAGAAATAGGAGTTACAACTCTCTGAGGAATTTATCCACTGTACAATAGCAACAAAACTGTATAGTCATCCAGCTGCTAACATCAATAAACATGACTTTTCTTCTCAGAATTTATGTCAAAAAGAAATCAGAGAAGCAGAAGAAGCAATACAAGCTTTTTGTGGATCTTAGAGCTACAAGTGACTATCTGTAACTTCTGTAATTAACCTCTTCCAAGACTTGATTTAATTTTGATTGTCTACAATCTCTTTTTGTAATCAGATATAATTCCATATGAAACAACTTGGAAATTGTTAAAATTAATGTAAACATGGCAATAGTAGTTCCCAGCACTAAGAAACCACCAGGGGCCTTTTCAATGCTATATGCTTGCTTGAAAGCAGTGCATATTATATATCTATTCTATGTGTAAAAAAAAATACATGCTATATTATATATAAGTTGGAAGAAGAAGGGTCTGAAATCTGTTTGTATGTAGGTGAGAAGTAGATTTCCATTTCAGAGCCTCAAGGCAGGTGTGAGTCAGAGTTTGAAAGAGTAAGCTCCAGTGCCACATTACATGGTTACATGGGTACACCATTGTGAAACAGGCTGACAGAGGTGTTTGAATAATAGTCAGCTTGTTCTCTGAAGTCCTCAGTCCAAAATTGCTTGGGGTAAATGCTTTTGCAACCCCTGAATTAGGACTGGGTCCACGATGGCTGTTGGTTGAGAGATTCTGTAGCTGGACTTCTATGACACGAAGACCTCAGTAACCCATTGGACTTCAGCTGAGCTCTTCTACTTGTTCATGAAAGAGGCTGACTCCAAGTTTGGCATCAGCTTCCCAGTCAGCTGAAATAATGCAGACACTGGTAAGCAGTGATTACACAGTAGCCACAGCTGAATCAACAAGACTTGTCCAATAATATACAGGGTGGAGAAGGACTTTGCATGAAGCTCAAGAATGGATTTCACTATATCAAAGAAAACGTGGGTGATAAAATGGGCAGTTCCTGTGAGTTGATACTCACAGACCATCAGTCAGGGAAAGGAATAAATTCCAGGAAGGTAAACTGGGCTTACCCCTAGTTAACTCTCTGACAATTTCCATGCCCATACACTTGTTTTCTGGCAGGAGACCAAAGCAATGCAGAGGCATTTTGTGACTAGGACTAGACTTCCACGTCCACCTAAGTAACACAACAGCTGGCTTTGAGAACCAAAGTCAGCAAACTCGGGTATCTATGTCTGTGTACCAGCCATTATATCACAGGAGCCATCGTAACTGAGTGAGTGTTATTTTGACCTTGCTGGCATAGTAAATGTGCTCATGGTAGTGGAGTTTCTGTTGTAAAGCCTAAGAAATCAAGAAGAGCACCAGGCCCATAAAATCTGTAACTGTTTTGCTCCAAAGTCACATGAGCAGATCCAAAATATTTCCCTTAAAATATACATATTTAGTAGTTGAAGTAATAATTTTTCATCCACAGGTACTAAGATACTAAAGATTTCTGAAGGGGCAGGAGAAACTGAAGCACAAATTAGTTAAATATTCTGAGCAAGGTTTTGAACTAAATTTGAACTAGTGCTATTGTAGAATAGTTTCTGGTTTCCCCTATGCTAGTCCTGGAACTAATGTTTATAGATTTAGACTTGTAAATCCAAAATATATAAACTCTTTATAGTGACCTATAGTCCTTTATATAGTAGAATGATGCTTTCTACTGTATATGCATGTTTGTTACCTGTTATTAACTTTCTTCTCCTGTTTCCTTCATGTATTCTAAAGCATTCTTATAGCCATGAGAATTTTCTGCATGTATCAAGTTTACAGTCTTCAATTGCCAAATGAATGTCACAATCTTTGTTGTGCTACATGGATATGTGAAAGGACTGCATGAGCAAACATGATACCTTTACACTTGCAGTTGTCTTTTGAACAGATGTAAGAATATCTTTCACTCTCAAGAGCAGATGTTTCAGGATCCCAAGGTCCTGAAGTGCCTTTCAGTATCATGTAGACTTGAATTTCATTGAAAGCAGGTTTAGAGTGAAGAATAATGGCAAAGATGTGGCCACAGTATGGAGCCCACTGTGGCAGACGTTCCTGAATTCTGTGATGCTGGATGCCTGTCTCTCCTCCCCTTTCCAGACTGGGCCTCTCTGCCCTTGGGTTTGTGTCCTGTTATGCCTAGTTTGTCCATATTCCAGTCACGCGCCAGATGTGTATCAGGCAATTGTGTGATGCTGTCTCCTGCAAGCACATTTCAGTTAATTACTTTGTTTTTTAACTTGAAAGCTAGAATCAAACACGAGTAAGACTTATTCTGATAAACTTTCAGGAAACATTCAGGGAAGAAAGAAAAAAAGCAGAGCTATCTTCTTGCTGTTACACAGACTGTTGCCATGGACCTGCGTAAACAAATGGAGAATACTGAGAGGAACTGGAATAAAGAGAAAATGGAATTACTGGAGAAATTCGACAATGAAAGGAAAGAATGGGAATGTCAATGGAAGGTTATGCAGAAGAAAATAGAAGAGGTACTTTTAAACAAAACTCTGAACGCTAACATTTTCACTTGAGTCTTATCAGTGACTAGGGATCACTTATATTTTTTTTTTTCCTGAATTATATCCTATTTCTTATCTGTCACTGAAAGTTTCTAATAGCTGATGGTAGGTTGCAAAGCCTGGGGTTAAGCGGTATTTGCAATTACTCATTTCATACTCATGGAGACAAAGCAGGAGGTTAAATGTCACTTTGTGTGCAGTTTGCTATGATATTGTTGGCTGTATACTGCTGTTCTGCTGGGCACGAGCCACTGCTCATTTTATACATGCATGTTTTTTTCAAGTACAGATATGCTGAACAAGTGCATATATGGAGTTTAGGAAAGTGTGTATTTAGTAACAAAAAATCTAGATATAATAATTCTCTGGCAAAAAGGAAGTACATGGCACAGGTGTGCTGAGGTTAATGGTAATATTGAAAAGAACGTCATACATTAGATGCTGTGTGATGCAGAATCGTTCTGGCTAGAATCAGCTCCATTTATGGATGGCTTTTAGTGGAGAAAATGGCTACAGTAAATAGCATGAAAGTCCTGACACCACTTGTGTTTACACATAATAACAAACACTCTCTACCATTTCTAATGCATCTCCTTCCAGAAATACTTTAGGTAATTATTTATTATTCTTTTATCCCCAAATTGTCACTGCAGCAGAAACCTCTGGCACTCTGTAATGCATAAATTGAATCAGCCTTGGCAACATACAGAAGCAAGCTTTTCACCACTGAACTTTCCACATTTTTCATTCTAATACACGCATGGAGTAGTTTTGCTTGCTCTCTGCCAGCACCGTCCTGTGGCTGAGCAACACAGGAATGTGTGGCAGAGATTGCTCACATGAAAGTATGAGAAGGAAAATTATCAGAGCCAAATGAATTGCAGCCATACACTGCCTGTTAAACCAACCTGCTGCATAACTCCGTAATGTCAGCTCTCTTATATTTTACCTGCAGTTCTGGCAGACTTTGGTATCATAGTCTTAGTATGAAAGCCACGTTTTATCTTTTGTGTTAGGACATTTCTGTGCCATCTTACTTAATTTCACCACCAAGGTGAAAGTGCTTCAGAAGTTAGTAATGTAATCTGTGTGTGTAGTTGAAATTCCGGTTTTGAGATATATGAGCTGTTTTGGAATGATTTGGAATGAATGGTAATGTATTGTGAAAAGGTATTCTGGCTATTTATAGTCCTGACAATTGCAGTGAATACCATGTTTTTTCCATGGTTTTTATTAGCATATGGATTAGGAAAGTGAGACAGAGACAGAAAAACAGGTAAAGACTTGAATGGAGCTGAGGGGGAAGAGAATGAACCAAATTGCTGAGTACAGAAGGACCAGACAAAACTGCAGATGATACCCCAAGGTTATCAGTATCCTAAGGTCCCTTCTTAAGCAGTGTCTACAGCCTGCCCTTGATTTCAGTTGTCTGACATTTCTTTTCCAACATGGCTGGAGAAAAAGGGAGATATATTTTAAATGCCATCATCTGTAGAGGGATTTCCTCAATAAAATTTTTGCTACCATATCAGCTTGGTTTTTTATTTGGTAGTTTTTTTCTAGCCCATGAAAACCTAACTTAATTTTTCTGGAATCCTCCAGGAGAACCTATGTGGTTTAGGAGATTATATTGTTATGAGGTGATATCCTTTGTTCTTACTGCTATGCTGAGTCTGTATGAGGCCCTCATTTCTTGGAGATTATGTAAAGTTCAGCCCTTGGGTTCCATGAGGTGCTGGGCTTTGGGAGTGAAATCTGAAAACCCAGGATGAGGCCAAGTGTCAAGTCTCTGAACGTGAGAATACTTCTGATCCACAGCGCTACCCATGAAATGGCCACATGTTCTTCATGTTGTTATTCTTTTTCACTGTCCTTCCAAAAGCTGTTGTGTTTGCTTTGGGCACTGTGAGAGAGCAGGCAGACGGCTGTTCAGAGGTGCCTGCTCTGCGCTTCATAAGAGCAAGTTAAGAATGAATGTTTATAAAGAGCTGTGGGATTCTTGGCACTGGAAATGATACTGTAAGCAAAAGAGGTTTTTATGATGTTGCTATTTTTTCTAATTTATAATTTATCAGAGTTCCTTAGTTTAAATGTGCTGGTTGACAGGAATTAACACCTTTTCATTTACTAATGAAGCCACTGGATCTCAGCAGATAGCATAAAAGAAGAGGGTGACAGCACATTGCCCGATAGTACCATTCTGCAGTACTGTTTTATCATTAGCATCATAGAGAAGAATTCCACTTGTCTAAGAACCAGAAAAATATGCTCTAGTGCATGTGATGCTGTAACATAATGAGACTTCACTTCTCCTCCTTAAACTAATATACTTTAGCAGGCTGTAACATAGCCAGAGCCCTCTCTCTCCGTCACATTCCCCATCCATCAGATCAGGCCTGTGTCCACCACAGAGTGAGCTGATATTACTTGGAAGACAACCATACAGCTTCTGCCTCAAGGCAAGGCCATTGACCTCATGAGATGTCTGCTAATCCCATCCTACGAGTGGAAGCCATACATTAAAACCATGGCAAAGAGTTTGTTAACAGCCCTTTCCTCATCCTGTGACAATAATAGTTTGTGAACTGTCACGTTCTGTGATGCAAAACTTTTCTATTAACACATGTATAAAATCATTCTACTTTGTGCTACTGAGTGAAGCATCATTCAAAACAGAAGATGAATATGTTCTTTTACCATAAAGTTCATCACAGTACCATGATTTAATAGAAAGTTCTATTGTTTTTTCAGCTTTACCAGGAGGTGAAACTTAGAAGGGAGAGCAATATGAATGTCCATGATAATAAGGCCATTCAGAGCAAGATGCTGCAGCTGTCCATGCATTCCCCTACTTTGGAAGAGAGTGACACAGTGGAGCTGAACTATCAACAAAATGTGGCAAAAGACAGGATGGAAAAAGGGAGTTTGCTCAGTAAACCAGAACACGAATGTAAAGAAACCAGAGCCAAGAGCAGAAACAATACTCTCTTAATGGACAATCAGGCCTTTGAGAAACTTGAGGAACCCAAAGACAGCTTCAGCATCAAAACTTCCAAGAAAAATGCCAAGAATTATATCGGTGATCTCAATGCAGTAAGTAAAGTATGAGCATGTTTCAGTTACAAGGGTGAGGAAAATACTGAGGGCTTTGGCCTGCCAGGTTAACTTAAAGAACTGATCTCCCTGATTTTAGCTTTTCAGTAAGGCACTGTCTCTACTTCCTCCTCAATTTGCTGTGGATTAGTGTCTTCTCACTGTCTACATGTGTTAACAGCATGCTTTTTATCTCTGTTCATAACTTTGGAGCATTTTTGTATCTGTCCTTATGCTACTTCCCTCTGTTGTGAGTCACTCACCACAAATTTCAAAATAAGTTTGAAGATACCATTTAAAAGGTGTATGTTAAAGATCTGGTTTTATATTTGTAAAGGCTCTTAAAGAACTTGCCAGAGTCAGTGAAGAATTATGCAGCTATCAAGAGGAAATTCGAAAGAAGTCCAACCACAGAAGGTAAAAATGTATTTGGACTCTTTATATTAGAGGAAGGAAATTAATAATGAGACTGTGCTCCTGCTCACTTTGAAGTGAGATTTGCTATTGAATTTGTTAGAAGTTGGGCAGTTCCTGTCTTCCTAGTGTTTCAGTGCTCAGCATAAAACATTCAAATGAAATATACTGAAATATGGTATATTTTACTAGCAAAATGAACTTTATCTATAGAACCTACAAAATGAAATTAGTATTTAGAGGAGACGAAATTGGACTTGTTTCTAAATGGCTATATAGAGGATTGGGAAAGTGCACAGATATTTGTATCTGCCCTGGTCCCATTTCCATGCAGTTCTGTACAACACCGTGGGTTTGTTAGGCTGGGACGTTTCTCATATTAAGCCCAGATCTAACCTTAAGGGTGGGGGCTGTGTCAGGGACTGACAATCCAAAAGTGCAAAGAAGGCAAGAGAAGGAAGAACAACCATACATTTGTGCTAATGGAAAGATGGTAAGCCAAACCCTGAAAAGTACAGCAAATGAACATTCCTCCATCTGTTAAAAATTTGATGTTCATTGTCTCCTTAGCAAGCTAAGCACTAGTCTTCCTCTCAAGTTCTGTAGCAATTCGTAGAAGATAAGACTGAACCCATGGTGCGACAGGGTGCTCACCATGAAGGAGACTGAGAAAGGCTACGTCTCAGCTATGCTGAGACCTCATCTAAGTTTGCATCATGGCAAGCTCTTCTCAGATGCTCCCAAAGAACAGAGGGACTTCTTACGCTCCTCCATGCAATCAGTTGGCCATCTATCACTGATTTATTACTGTAGCTTTGTTAGGTTTTGTATCTTTGAAGCAAATAGATTCATAGCTGATGCATAGTTTCTAAATCCTGGCTGAAAAAGGTGATTTTTGAACAAATCTCAAAACACACATTTGTACCGTCATGTGTAACACTAGGAACCCTACACAAGGGATGCACTGTGTCCTAAAGCTTTCTTCATTCGGTTCATAGTCAGGTAGGATCTCACTGGAGTCATTAGAACTCACAAGATCCCACTGTCCTTACTGTAGGATAGGTAAGAAAACAAGCAATCATCTACAAAAACTCAGAAAAATAATTTTAGTGGCAAGGGAAAGGAATACAAGATTCCCTGTGTTGAGCTTTTATTCATATTCTTCATATTTGTTTCAGATACGCTGGGTCTATCAGCTGCAGCAAAACTGCTGTTAAATCTTTTTAAGCAGCCAGTGTTAAAACACCTGCTTATGGGGAGAATGAATCCATGCTGAGGTCCCCTGGGGTAATACCTTATTGCTCATTGCTAAAACACCTCTCCTTTTATTTCCAGAATGAAGTCACTTCCTTTCCTGGGGGAATTTGAGGAAACCCAAAACACAGTTATTCTGCCTGAGTTTAATCATGTGTCCAGCAATGAATCACAAACTTCAGTTGTTTTTGAAACAGAGGAACATAATAACAGGAAGAATCTGATGAGCTCCACCAAGTCTTTGAAGGACCTGTCTTATGGTGGTCTTACTGGTGACAGAGGAACAGACTTCAGACCTTGGCAAAAGAAAGAAGCTCCACCAGTTCCTCCACGAAGCACTTCTCGGCACCTAACAAACTCACTTTCTGCAGTTGTACAGCTTTCTGAAGCACCAGTAAGAGATCCAGGCATAAAAAGCAATTGCAAGGCTCAAGACTGTAGGAGTGGAAGGAAACTAATTAATCTTTCGCCTATAAACCAGAATGAAACTGCATCTGCCTGTGCAAATGAAAGGCAGGCTGTGAAAGGTCCTGTGATGGTAACTGCTGCAATACCTGTAACCAAAAATGAGTGCAATGTACCAACAAGTTTCTGCCACAACACATGGGCATATGATGTGGGCAAACTTGGAAAAGACTATAAAAGTGAACCTTCCCCACTGTCAGCCCAAAAAAGTTGTTCAGATGGAAATATGGCCCAAAGCAACAAGATGCACCAGAAACAAAATCCCAAGCCTCACAGCAGCCCTTATTACAGTAATGACTTTTATGCCTCTGCCACCCTGCACAATGATATTTTGGAAGATTCTAGGTATACTGTGGGAAAAACTCAGAGAAATGAAACCTTAGCAGCAAAGATTGATGAGTTTAACCGAACTGTATTTCACACAGATAAACATAACAATGCTTTGCAAGAAAACCAGGTGCCTCGAACAGCATCAGAAGATCACAAACCCTGCGGCCCACTGTGTGACTCTGCTATTATCAGGACAGAAACTGGGAATACATCTTGTGTTTCAAATCCCAAATTCTCTGCAGCAAAGGAACAAGAAACCAGCAACCCCAGCAAAGCTGTCAGAACAGCGGGGCAACAAAAGCAAATAAATGGACTTCCAAATACTAGTGGTTACAGGCACATGCTTCATGAGCATGACTGGAGACCAAGTAATTTATCCGGTCGCCCGCGTTCAGCTGACTCAAGGTCGAACTATGGTGTTGTTGAAAAGCTTTTGAAAAACTATGAAAAATCAACAGTGACTTCTCCATGTAATGTGAAATGCAGCAAAGATAAGGGGACATGGGCAAATTCTGAATTCATGGATGGGGGTTGTGAAACATTGAGTCAGTATTTAGAAATGCTTCAGATTGAGCAAGGAAAGCAAGAATTTCCGAGGAATTCAGCCAGGCATATTGGGCAGCAACTCAAGCAAGGAAAAGAAAGACAGAAGTTACCAGAGGTAAGGTTCATAAGAATGGCAAGAACAAAATAATTCAGCTTCATACCAAGCTTCAGATTCTAAAATGAGGCAGGCTAACGTGGTATTGTAAATAATTATGCAAAAATAGACACTTTAGGCCAGGATCTGGATGAATCGGGAATATTTCCTCTGAAGATAATAGAGTTGTGGGAGGGCATAAGCATGTACGAGTGACCAGTGAAGATGTGTGTCAGACACTTATCTCTGCTGCTGTTGTGTAAAACTAGATTTTAACTGCAGTGCACTTATTCAAGGATTGAACTGGTGAGAGATGCAATCATATTTTAACTCCCTCCCTCCTTCCTTTATCTGACACATTATTTCATAAGCCTTACCAAAAGGCTTAAGCACGCTTAGCCACACCAAAATCCTAGAGGGCTTAGAGAGCATTCTTCATCATACAGGGTGCTGCTTGATTCAGGATTGTCTTGGAACTGCCTGTGAAAAGGGGTGTTGTAGCTCCATAAAGTTTCCAGTAATAAAGTGACCTCTTCCTACTCATGTCTCAGTTCCAGGCTTCTCCTATATATTCAAGTATAAGCTCACAGAAACAGAAGAGTATGGCATGACTAATTAATTTATATTGGTCTGAATTTTATTTGCAGAAGTTTAGAAATATTGCCTTTGCCAATATTCTTTCTTAATGAAAAGAGAAACAGATGGTTTTAAAAATACGCTGTAGATGGCAAGTTGTGTAAAAGGCCACAAAGAAAGAAAAATCATTTTTCTTGAAGTGTTCCTTGGCCAACAAACACAAAGAGATATGCCCCTTAGTGTCTCAGAAGAGAGAAGGCAAACGTCTTTGGAGCTGAGAAACTTCAGAGTGTCAGCTGGTGTGCTTTAAACTGTCACAAATTCACAGACTTCAGTGGAGCTATGTGGATTGAAACAGCTGAGAATCTGACCATGCAGATTTTCTTCTGCATGTCTTTCTGACAGCGTTGCAGTGATGCAACATCTTGCTTAGCAGAGACATCTTTACTACAGCACAGAAAGAAAAAAACATGAAGCTTCTGATTTCTTTTTCATCCAATGAACTTGAGGAAAACAAATTTTCACTCATTAATATGTAGGGAAGAAATAATGACTAGATAATAACTGAGTTTACATTGATGTAAGCCCAGAATAACTTTACTAGGGTAATTGGATTTCTTTTCTTGATAGGCTCACACTTTATGCTGTCATTTATATCTGTACAAACTAAGTGTAGAATATTGCCTGATTAGGGGGGAAACCATTTTAGGTCCAGCAGCATTCATGTCACAAAGTTGTAAAGAAATCAGATGAGGCATTTTGTTTATTTTCATTATTTCCAATTTACATCACTGTAGGTATTATCAAAATTTGTTGGTTTTCCTGTGTATATAGGGCTCTGCATGCAAGCATGACACTGCATTAATACATAACCATTTTGAATTAGTTAGCAAGTGCAAACAGTTTCATGTTGCATTAATGGAAACAGAGTTCTTAGCAATATGTGACTGCTGAAATAGGATCTATCAAAAATACCTGAAAAGTATGTGGATCATACTCCAGCAATGTAAGATGGTATTCTGAGTTCTACGTTTAGAACAGTATACAGTGTTCATCGACAAAAAAACTTCCAAAAATGAAAAGCAATGAGAAGTGAATGTCAGTTTTGGCTTGCATTAACATTTTATACCTTTCTTTTTGTCTGCCACTTGTCTCTATATATTTTAAACCGCAACCAATATGAAAATCCCTATACATAGAAATAGCTGTTCTTTTGCATTCTGCACATTACTGTGCTTCTTTTAATAGCTTCAGACCA